GAACCCCCCCCCGCAAAAGTAAAATAACTCTAGTTCCAGGAGATCTGACGCCGTCTTCTGTCCTCCATGGGAACTGGACAGTATAAGTGTGCTTAGGCATATGCAGGCCTAACACTCATACATATAAAAAATTAAAATTAAAAAAAATTTTTAATCTTTTTTATGCCAGAAAACATGATTTTTCATGTTTCCTGGGGCACTTGATGTGTTAAAATGCTTTAGTTGAAACCAAAAGCTCTGAGACAATCTGACCTCACTAGATACAGGGTTGGAAGTCACAGTCCCTTTCAAGATCATTGCGAGACCACTGCTGCTCCAGACTTGTCGTGTGGGAGGTTCATGCTGACTACAGGGGCTACGCTGAAGCTGTCCCACTGGGCTTCCCTTTCACATCACTGCCCGCTGCACCTCTCATGGGTCCTTCGCGCATGTGTACCTTTGTCTTGACCTTGGAAAATATTGGTCCAATAAGTGTGTAGCTTCCAAATGTCAACCCAGTTCATCATACACAAGTCGAATGCCCCTTATCTGAACTACTTGGGACCAGAAGTACATCAGATTTTCCAGAGTTTTTTGTTGTTGTTGTTGTTTATTTGTTTTTGTTTGTTTGGTTTTTTTTTTGAGTGTCTGCATACTCTCTACCCATTAGTTATCCCTAATCTGACATCTGAAATGTCTATAAAATTTCAGATTGTCAGGTTAGGGCTGTCTACCCTTGATTCAAAGCCCCACATTTGTGAGTATCCTCTTGAACCCCATTCAAACATCATGGCACACACAGGTATTCTAAAATTATAATTTTTGCTTAAAAGCTTGAATTTTATCAAGTGCAAAGAATATTGTCATTTACTGTCTTGAAGCAACAGGCTCACCACATTCCTTTTTGAGAAAGCATCTGCTCAATCACCAGGACTGAACACTCCTAGTTTATCTGGCAGTCCTTCCTACCAGTAAAATGATGTCCATCAGCCAAAGAAGCTAGTTGGGCTGGTGACTCACAGCTGTCTGATTGTCACTGCTGCAGCCAGGGCACTCTAAAGCAAAGCTTCCCCCACTTCCCCCGAGTATCTCTGTGGAGAAGAGCAGTTTGCTGACTGTGAATTTGACACCAGGGCTGTGCTGAATCCTGAGGCACCAGCAGTTTCATGCACTGTTGCTTCTGCACCATCCATGCACATGCCAACATGGTTCACAAGGGGACAGCTTCTTGGTATTCTTTTAAAAACAACTTTAGCTTCACAGACCCTCTGGACTGTTCTCATGAGCTCTTGGGGCTCCCAGGTCTCACTCTGAGAGCTCCTGGTGAGTTCTTGTTTCCTGTGCTGTCATTTATGTGCCATCTTCATAGTTCTGGGTAATTCGTCGGCCACTCTGACAATTAGGTACTTAATCAACTCTTCAAGCTGGTCCCCCCACCCCCCACCAAGACAAACTCTTGCTCTGTGACCCAGGCTAGCCTTGAAATTGTGAAATCCTCCTGCCTCAGCCTTTCAAGTGCTGGGGGTCTAGGTGCACACCACCACACTCAGCTGGCTTGCTTTTAAACATACTGAAATGCATTTGGAAGGCAATGTCATATTGCTTCTGTAAGTGCTATACACAAAGGGGAACCCCAAAAGAGATACATGGGTGGCTGAAACACACATCTGCCTTGTACCCATGTAAGTGCAAATGGAGCATGAACTATTTGGAAAAGAGTATTCTAGATACATGACTTATTCTCTAGAAAGGGAAATTGGGTCCTAAGAAGACAGGCAACAAGAACGGATCTTGGTTTCCAGGCAGCGAGCACTTTGGTCTGTGCTATGCAGCTTGCTGGCCCCTCTGTCCTGCCCGAGGTTTAACCACATGGCACTATGGGAAGGGAAGCTATCCCTTGAAGGCTGCCACTGGGGAGGGTGTGTTCAGGGTTCCCTGGACTGGATGGCAAGATGGCTTTCCCAGTTCTCATGTACCCCTCCCTGCTCCTGAGTGCTGTCAGCATCTAGCCCTTCCATTTTCCCAGGGCTCCTGGGCTGGGTCCCTTACATTGATTGCTTCCTGCGGGGAGGAACCCATTGAGTCCTTCCTATTTCTGTTCAGGTTCATAAGCCCACACCAAGGGCTTCTTTGGAACCTGTTTGTCAGGGCACTAGACTTCAAATGGCATTCTCTGATGTGTCAGGGGAACCCCAGTGTCTCCTCGTGTTGCAGAGAAGCCCCCAAGCTGGTTAATGGTAGGAGTCCTGAACTGTTGCATCTTTCCCACTCTCCATTCCCAACAGAAAGACAATGTGGAGATGATCAAGGCCCTCATTGTATTTGGGGCAGAAGTGGACACCCCGAATGACTTTGGGGAGACTCCTGCATTCATAGCTTCCAAGATCAGCAAACGTATGTGCATTGCAGTCTGGGACCAGATTTGGGAGGCGGGTACAGAAACTAAGAAAGAGGGAAGGAAGGTACCAGTTGCTCAGTTGTCCTCTGCTGAGTGGCCAGGAACACATGGGGCTCAGAGAGGCAGCTTCCGTCCCCACAAAAGAGCCCATCACAGTAGATGCAGGCCCCACCAAGGGCTTGCTCAACAGCGTCCTCACCTCAGGCTCCCAATGGGAGTAGGACCAGGTTTGTAGTAGCAGAACAGGCATAGGATCAGTGCATGCACCATGCATGCCCATGCTTCATAAGTGCTGAGCACACAGACTTGCATGTGTACGCGCTGTACCTCTCCCCCAGAGCCTGGTCTCAGACCTACAAGAGGCAGCTTCTCTTCAGAAAAGCCCAGGGGACTCTGAGGGCTGTGCATAGTGTGGGGTTACTGTGGGTGTGGCCCTAATTGCATGATCGCTCCCCTTTTCCCAGCCGAGATTTCAGCTGCACTATCAGCTTAACCTAAGTGGACCCTTCACCCCCAGCCATGCCAAGCTCTGGGTTCAGAGCGGTCCCAGCAGGAGAAACCCAGGGTGGAAGTAGTTGAGGATGCTGCTACTGTTCGTGGCGTCCTTTCCGTTATCCCCTCTGTTAAATGGGATTCACGCTTATCCCTCTCCAACTCAGAAAGGAACTGCCCTTGCAGATTTTTAGAATTACTGGCCATGGAGTCGGGAACGTTGTAGAGTGAAGGAGGGAAGTCCCACAATAATTTTGTCCGTGTCTCTGCCTCCTCCTGCCACATCCCACGGTCTTCCATACAAAGGCCACTTTGAATGGAGCAGACCAGTCAGCATGCCAGTCAGGGTTGTTCCCACACAGCTGGGCCACCTGCTAGATGGGATGGGGGTCCATGTGCAAGGAGGGACCTCACTTGCAGGTTGATGCCACCTCTACCCTCTGCCATCTCTCTTTCCCAAATCCTGACAAGTGATCACCAGGAAGGCACTCTTGACTCTGCTGAGAACCGTGGGGGCCGACTACCGCTTCCCACTCCTCCAGGAGGTCTCCACAGACCAGGGCTCTGCAGCAACACCTCACCCCTTCTTCTCCCTGGACAGAGCTCAGCCCCCAGCGATCAGCTTAAACAACCTAGGTAGGCCACCTTTTTCCCTCCTTCCTCTCCAGCTGTGCCCAGGGCCTCAAATCCTAGCAGCCCCCACCAGAAAGGAACAGGGTTCCAGGGTTGAGGTTGTTGAAGGGAGAGGGCTGGCTTTATTAGCCACTGTGGACAGCCAAACAACCCACAGATCCTAGAGGCCTAGCAGGTCATTAGCTGAGGTCCCATGGTCCATCACCCCGAGAGGAAGCCTTGCATATGGGCCGAGGTGGGTGCTCCCATGGCCTCTTGTCCCCTAGGAACTTAGGACTGCCTGTGCAGGATGCTGCTAGGCTGTCAGCTTCAACTGGCATGAGACTTGGTATGCCCCCTGCTGGCCCCTTTGGTAAATGACAGATTTTTGAAGTGGCCAGGTAGCCAACATTTGTCCCAGTGTGCCAGTGATGCCCTTGGAGGTAGTCCTAGAGGAAATGGGGACCCTGCCTGGGCCTTCTGTGTCCTGGACCACCCAGGGCCCTAGCTTTGGAAGTAAGACCAGCTAGACCTCCCTAACCGTGGAGATAGAGACCCCAGCCCCAGCTCCTCCTGCCCAGCCTACCCAGCCAGGCCTGGAGCTCTGGAGGACAGAGAAGCTACTCCCTCTCCCTGACCACTCACAGGAATTTTCCCAGGTCCCCATCTTTTTCTCTCCATTTTACAGGCAGGAGGTCACTTGGGCCAGGCTGCAGGTGGGGCATGGCGGCAAATGGGTGATGCCTAGGCCTAGAGAAGCTGCTGAACCCAGTCCTGCCCCACCGTAGCTAGAGCACTGGTTCCCTCCGGTCCTTCTCTCAGCTACACACCCAGGCATAGGCACCATTCCTCCTCCCTCTCCTGGTACCATCTGCTGCCCTGCTGGCCAGTCTCCTGCTTAGCTTGCCTGCTCTGTGCCTGATGAGGGGAGGCATTACTTGCCCCTGTCTGCCTTGCACCTGCCTGCCTGCTTGGCCCCCGCCTGCCTGCCTGTACTGCCCTGCTCCCTTACCTCCCTGCAAAGTGGTGACTGCTTTCTGTCACAATCATGCAGTGATGCTATCAGGAGGATGAATGTGATGGGGCTGGTCTAGTGCACAGAGGAAGACTGAGCTAGATGGAGTAGATGGATGAGCCCAGAGGCCACTGAGGAAGTTTCCAGACCTGGGACAAGGACAAGGGTGGTCTGAAGGATGAGTGAGATATTTCCCTTCATTCATGGAGTTTGGCCCCCTAGCAGTGTCCTTCATAAAACTCTTTTGGCTAAAGGGCTTTGGATAAGCCATGGGTGACTGTCAGCAGCATTGGCTGTGACATGCGCTTTGTGCGCTGCAGACCACAGGACACACCTGGGAGGTCAAGCTTCATGGTTATGGGAGGAGTCTGGCGAACTCTAGGAGCTGACTGGGCAGGTGTGGAGCCCCTTCCAGAGCAGTGAGCGTCCTACTTGTTCGAGCTCATCTCTTCCAGCAGGACCGTGGCTTCTAGTTGAGCTTTATCCTGGAGAAGGAGGCAGATGGTGGGGTTCAGCTTGAGTGGGGGAGGGGCAAAGTGGGATGGGACACAGCTCCCTGTTTGCTCTAGAGACCCCTGGGGCCCAGGGTAGAGACCTGCTGGCCCCAGCATGCTCTGCCCTGTGCCCCGCAGAGCTGCAGGACCTTATGCCCATCTCCCGGGCCCGGAAGCCAGCCTTCATCCTGAGCTCCATGAGGGATGAGAAGCGAACGTAAGTGGAGTGAGGGCTGGGCTGGTATGTGGAGATTTTCCAGGTGCCCCTGGCAGACTTGTACCTCATCCCTACTATACGCTGGGAGGCCCCTCTTCTAATTGGGCGAATTCATGGTAGAAACCAAGTCTTTGAGGCCTATGGGCTTGTTTATTAGTGATAGGTGGTGCCCATTGTAAGGACCAGCTCGAGGTCATGCAGCTGGGCAGGCTTGATCTCCCCTTGGTGCAGCCCCATTGCCTTCCTTGCCCTCATGGTTTGTGGAGGGGAGGTTGCCTGAACCCTTTCTGGAGAGAGCCCAGCATCTGCTTCCTTCTGCTCCCGTTGGCTTCCCACCTGCCTTTCTCCCTCCACAGATGTCCTGCTCTCCCAAGCCATGTTTCTTGCCCACTGTGGGAGGCAGGCCTGAGAGATAGGGCCAAGTGATGGAGAGGCGGGTCCCTTCATAGTCACCAAACTGTTAACAGACTTCTCAGCCACAGCAGCAGCACTTTGGATCCAAGCACTCACCTGTATCAAGAGAAAATGATGTAGTGCATGTGCACAAGTAAATTTTACAGTTTTGGCAAAGATGGAAAAACTCTCTGTCTGTCTCTACTTTTAGTAGCAGCATTACAACTTAAAGGAAAAATGAAACAAAGTCAAGAGATATACATATATAGATTGAGCCTTGGACCTGAGTTACCAGAACTGGGAAAAAAGTCTCTTCTGGTCTAGGGACTAGATACAGTGTTAGTATTCCCTGTCGGGATCTTAATCCCTAGGGTCCCACTACCACTGAAGACGTTCAAGTCTTATTCTTGAGGCACAGGCCCTGGTGAACGCTGGCTAGTGCAGTGAGTGAGCTAGACAAGGAACTTGCCATCTCTGTGCCCTTGGATGTCATATATTGTTTGGTATTACTTTCCCCTGTTCTTTGAAGCCTTCCTGGTCCATATCCTTTCAGTTCTTGCAGGCACATGCTGACTGCTGGCCCTTGCAGAGAAAGCATCCTTTCCACCTTCAGCTACAGCTTCTGTTGCCATGGTCCAGCAGCCTTGCTTGAAGGTTCAGTCTCCTGAGGCCTCATTTCTACCATGGCCCTGTTACATAGACCCTGAATGCATTCCTGGCCCTTTAGCATCCTGGCCCTTCCCTCACACTGCGCCTCCTACAAGCAAGTACCAGTCCACATGCACGTGCATGTGCAGACATGTCCTGGGGCCCCAGTGAACCAGCAGCACCCAAAGGAAGGAAGCATAGTTTTTGACCAGAGGATGTAGAAAAGTGGACTCCAGCAGGCCAGGGTGGGGCTCTGGGTGGGGCGAGGTGAATCCAGAGACCCTGACCATCCCACAGGGGAATGTGAGCCTCAGCCTGTACTCTGGGTGACCTCGCTGTTGCCAGGCCTATGTCCTCAGCAGCCTTGCTTGCTCAGGCCTCCCTGGTCAGGGCTTTCTGGGCCTCCATCAGCTGTGCTCTGCCATCCTATGAGTCTGCTGAGTGGCCAGGTCCCTGGTCTAGTAGAAGGTTCCTGGAAGTGGCCTAATGCTTAATGAGCCTGCCTCACCGGCCCTCTCTCCTGCTCCTTTTGGGTTGCAGTGCTGCCCGGAGCCGAGCCACCCCGTCCTTGTGGAGCTGGTTGTTCAGAGGTGGAAAGCAAAGAATGGTTGCTTCAGAGGGTGGCAGGGCCACCACAAGGGAGCTGGGGGCTGCTACCGGGTGGGTGTTCTAGTTCGTTTCTGTTGCTGTAATAAAATACTCTGACAAAAAAGCAGTTTAGGAAAGAAAGGGGTTTATTTCAGCTCACAGTTCCAGGTTACGGTCCATCACTGTGGGAAAAAATCAAGGCAGGTACTTTGAACAGCTAGTCACATCACATCTGTAGTCAAGAGTGGTGAGAAGTAACTGCATCCATTCTTACATTTGTGCTCAGCTTTGATTTCTGCATTTTTACACAGTTTAGGATCCCTGCTTAGGGAGTGGTGCTGCCCACAGTGAGCTGGGCCTTCCCACATCAATTAATTAAATAATTCTCTATAGACAGGCCACAGGCCAACCCCTGTAGGCAGTCCCTCAGTGAGACTCTTCTCAGGTGATCCTAGGTTGTGTCAAGTTGACGGTTAAAGTGAACCATCATAGTGGGGTTCTCACAGGCAGTGATTCAAGCTGAGAGGGAAGCCAGGCATGGTGGTACACATCTGTAAATCCCAACAGTCAGTAGGCTGGAGAAGGAGGATCATGAGTTCAAGGCCAGCCTGGGATAGTGTGAGACCCTTTCTCAAAAAACCAAAAGCAAAACAAGATCATGAAGTTGAGAGGGAAAGATGAGGCTGGAAGGAAGGGTTGAACACAGCCTGCACGCAGCCCTGCGCTTGGCCAGGGAGGATCTTGATTCTCTGCCACCTTGAATGCTGGCCAGGGCTGGCCAGGGCAGGCCCTAAAAGGAATGTCCATCCTTCTAACGTGACACGACATTGGCAACTACAAAATTCATGTGCAAGAACCATGCAGTTGAGTTACAAAAAAATCCCAACACGAATTCCAGGTTTTAAGTTCATGATTTGAGCCAGGTGTGGTGGTGCACGCCATTAATCTCAGCACTCGGGAGGCAGAGGCAGGCGGATCTCTGTGAGTTCAAGGCCAGCCTGGTCTACATAATGAGTTCCAGGCCAGCTGGGGCTACAGGGAGACCCTGTCTCAAAAAAAACAAAAAAGGGGCTAGAGAGATGGCTCAGCAGTTAAGAGCACCGACTGCTCTTGCAGAGGACTCAATTCCCAGCACCCACATGGCAGCTACAAAGACATAAAAATAATAAATTAAAAAAAATTTTTTTTTGGTCTTTTTGAGACAGGGTCTCCCTGTAGCTCCGGCTGTCCTGGAACTCACTATGTAGACCAGGCTGGCCTTGAACTCACAGCGATCCACCTGCCTCTGCCTCTTGAGTGCTGGGATTAAAGGCGTGTGCCACCATGCCCGGCAATAAAATATTTTTAAGACTCATAGGCTGCAGGTTGGACAAGCCTGCTAGAGTGTGACTTCATGTCAGTCTCCTAACTTCTGAGCTCCATCCCAAGATATACAGACATAGGGAAGCAGAGAGTAGCTGAGAGGGAAGTGAGCTGATGCTAGCCACTCCTCCCCAGGACCCTAGCACAGAGACGTTCCTTCCTCCCTGCTGTGTCTTCTCTGGCTCCTTCCTTCTTAAGGAGTGAGCCCTGCCACCCTCACCACACACACCTGACCCAGCCAGAAGGAACCAGTCCTTCCTCTCCTGTCCTGTTTACTTCTATCAGATTTATCTGACACATGCTTTGGGTCAGGCGTGATCACCGCTGTGGTCAGGGAGCTCCCTGCTCCCACTCCAGGCCCTGCTCCTCTCCTGTCCTTTCCCTTTGTACTTCTGAAACATTTATTCATTCCTTTCCCATCCTCATCTGCTCTCCCACATCAGTAGTGCAGAGGCTTCAAGGCAGGCTCTGTGGCTTTGTTCATGTGCCCACTGTGGTTCAGAAGCTGAGCGGACGCAGATTGAGAATGCCAGGTGTGAGTACCAGGCCATCCTGAAACCCTCTTGGCCTTCTGCTATCCTCACTTTAGCCATGACCACCTGCTCTGCCTGGACGGAGGGGGCGTGAAAGGCCTGGTCATCATCCAGCTCCTCATTGCCATCGAGAAGGCCTCAGGTGTGGCCACCAAGGACCTCTTCGACTGGGTGGCAGGAACCAGCACTGGTGGCATCCTGGCCCTAGCCATTCTGCACAGTGAGCACAGCTTCTGGGGCATGGTGGGGTGGGCAAGGCAGGCCTGCCCTCAGAGGGGCCAAATGCCTTTGCAGAGGAGATAGGAGCAGAGCAGGGCCTTGTACCCTTCCTGGGGTGCTGAGGTGCTGGGGCCCCAGGTCAGGAAGAACAAGCCATGCAGATGGGCTCAGAGCATATGGCTAGTTTAGAGGCTGTTGTTGTGCACGGTAGTTTTCACTCACCTCTCCACCCTCCTGCAAGGCAGCACCGTGGGCCTCGCCACCTGCTGCCACTAGGAAAGCCTTTGGTGGATGGATAGATATGTCTGCAGTGAGAGTCAGTCACAGGATGCCAGAGCCCTTGGCTGCATGAAAAATCAAGGCCCCAGGTGGGGATGGTATCCTAGAGCCACATGGCACATCTGCAGGATTACTCCAGCCATAGCAGTCCCCTGGACTGCCAGTCCAGGACATCATAGGCCACTGATGTCACCTCCTTTTCTGTAGCTTTGCAGAGTGGCAGGCCCTTGGTTGACTGGAGGATGCTGCATAGAGCCAGCACTGCCCCTTATGTGGCCTGGCCCCTCCTCCGGGGAGGTGCTTGAGCTGTGTGCTGCTGACTGACTAGACACGCCTAGAAAGCAGGGCCCAACTGCATCCCAACAGGCGGTGTCCCTGGCCTCCACCTGAATAGCGCCCCTTATCCAGCTGTTGGTTAGGTTCTATTTTCTCCAAAGCAACTTCCAAATCAGGACCCTACTGACCCAAAGCCCTGAGGCACCAGGGGAGGACACCAGGGGAGAACCCCTGCCCTCTGCCCTATGAGTAAGGGCCGTCAACAATCCTGAGCTCTGCATCTGATGATGCAGAGTTGAGTCCCCACTTTAGACAGCTCCTGGTCAGATAAGGGCATGAGCCCAGTCCAGGGTCCTGCAGGAGCATGGGGACAGCCAGCCCAGAGGACTTGGGAGCCATGTCTTGTGGGGCTCTGGGAACGGGATCATCTGCCTGTTGAGAGTTACAGGGGCCTTGCTCATCAGCAGTGGTTTATGGTCTAGTATTTCATTTGTTTCTTAGTGTTGCTGTCTCTGTGAGGTAAGCAGACAGGGAATCAGGAACAGACATGCACGAGTCAGACCAGAGTCAGGTTTGGCTTCAAGGAGTTGACTGGTCTAGCTCTCCCTGAGTTCAGAGATCCCAAGTCCCTTCTGGCCTTCTGTGAGAGAAGAGCCCCCTCAGCTCTTAGACATTTTTTTATGCATTTAGAATCCTTCATTGAGGAAAATCATAGAAAAATATAAATACAAAGAACCCAGAGGCCCAGAAGTTTCAGTGCAGTTAGCTCTTTGGGAAATGTACCCCTTCCTCCACCACCTCCTGTCAATGCTGTCCCATGCTCCCCACAACTTGCCTGTGCACAGCTCTACCCTTCAGTTTCCCCAGCTCCTCCCTCCCTTCTTCCTAGGTAAGTCCATGGCCTATATGCGTGGTGTGTACTTCCGCATGAAGGATGAAGTGTTCCGGGGCTCGAGGCCCTATGAGTCTGGGCCCCTGGAAGAGTTCCTGAAGCGGGAGTTTGGGGAGCACACCAAGATGACAGATGTCAAAAAACCCAAGTAAGCCCTGGCCTCTCCCCCTTCTGTTGCTCTGCTCCAAACAGCCCATCCCATCTAGAGCTTCCCCTGAGGATATGGGGAGACTGAGTGGGTGAGGGAAGTCGGGAGGCTGGGGGCTGAGAAGGAAGGACTTGGTAGCCTGGAGCTTCCTGGAGAGAGTAGGGCCTCCTCCATGCCAGCTGGAGAGCTTTGCAGGCCAAGGAGCCCCTTTCCTTCCCCTGGGTATTATCACACTTCAGTCGGCACTTATTCCCTGTTCAGACTTGGAGGCTGTGGCCACATGGCTTCAGTCCTGCCTTCAGCTTGAGGTTGACTTGAACTCTTGGAGACCAGGCTGGGGCCTAAAGGAAAGTCATGTAAGCAAGAAGGGTGTGTTTGGGAGGCCAGTCCCTAAGAGACTCTTCTAGAACTAAGGGGAGTGCCTGGAACTTCAGGTGTGGCCAGATAAAGGGGTAGGGCTTCAGTCGTGCAAACCCCATCCCCTGAGCAGAGCTGGAGGAGGGAGAAGGCGTAAGTCCGGGCTCCCCATAGTGATGGAATTCCAAATTTCTACCAAATGTTGATTCTTAATCTCAGCCCTTTGCACTTATTATCCCTGGCTCATTCAGTTCATGCAGCCTTGTGTGCGTAGCCTCCCATTCTGTGTGTGAGAGGGGGCATGCCCAGGCCACACTGACAAAAGCAACAGGCATCGCCAATGGCTGGCCTGGTGCTGCTCTGCCCCACAGCCCTGCGGGGCTGCTCCGGCTGCTTTCCCTAGAATCCCTAGAATCTGCACTGAACCAGCTCTGCAGTGTTTGGAGAGGAGGGAGGAGGGCCACACCTGACAGGCAGAGAGGCTGGAGCTAACTCACAGGCTGGCTGATAGAGAAGTTAGCTGACAAATGGCAGCCAGGCAGGACGGCTGTGCTGAAGAGGTTCTGGAAGAATGTGCAGTACATTGCAGCTCTAGAGACCCGCCCTGAGGCCAGGCCTGTGTTCTCAGCCGGCCTGTCTGTGAGCTTCTGTCTGTGAGCTTTGGGGAGGCAGGAACATCACTGCCTCGTTTTCCTCCTCCGTAGCCATGGACTCTAGCACAGAGCAAGCCATTGAACAGGCCAGGGGTGGAGCTTAGTGGTAAAGTATACTGGTGGAGGTCAGAGGACAATTCTGTGGAGTTGGTTCTCTCCTTCCGCCTTTCTGTAGGTTTGGGGATCAAACTCAGGTGTCAGGCTTGCCTGGCAAATGTTTTATCCACTTGACCATCTCTGTTTGTCTATTGTTTGCTTTTTGTAAGGGTAACACGTAGTCTTTTGCTGTTTGTTCTGTTTTGTTTTTTGAGACAGGGTCTCCCTGTAGCCCCAACTGGCCTGGAACTTGTTATGTAGACTGGGCTAGCTTTGATCTTAGAGATCCGCCTGCCTCAGCCTCCCGAGTGTTAGGAATAAAGGCGTAGGCAACCACACCCAGCTATATCTAGTCTTTTAAGAAAACTTGGGGAGCTGGAGAGTTGGCTCAGCAGTAAAGAGCACTCTCTGCTCTTGCAAAGGACCCAGATTTGATTCCCAACATCCACATGGTGGCTAAGAACCATCTGTAACTCCAGTTCAGGGATCCGATGCCCTCTTCTGACCTCAGCGGGCTTTGCACGACATGGGTGCACCTATCTCCATGCAGGCAATACACTCAAACACATAAAAATAATAGATAAAGGGCTGGAGAGATGGCTCAGCAGTTAAGAGCACTGAGCTCTTGCAGAGGACCCGGGTTCGATTCCCAGCACCCACATGGCAGCTACGAACCGTCCTTAACTCCAGTTCCAGGGGAATCCGAAGCTCTCTTCTGATCTCTGCAGCATTGCACTACACGGGTGCACTCACCTACATGCAGGCTATACACTCATACACATAAAATGAAAATAATAAAATATTAATAATAAAGTAATAAAACATATATTTTAAAAATTGGAAAACACAGAAAGTAAAAACAATTTGTTAACCAAAAAGACATTATCTAAGGTGGGGGATATGGCTCAATGGCAGAGCACTTAGTATGTGTGAGGTCCCATATCCAATACCCAATATCACAAAAACAGAAATGTTTTAAAGACTTTGGGCCTTTGGGTATTCTTTGGTCTTTTTGCTCTACTCATTTTTTTATTTTTGTTTTTGTTTTTTTCCTAGTGAATATAATAATGTACTTAAAAAGGAATGCACACTATTAATGATTATTTACAAAGAAAGCAGCCAGGTGACCACCAGCTAGGCGTCAGCCCACCCGTTTCAGCCCAGTTAGCAGCCACACTCGCCTAGAAAAGGCCAAGGGCCTTGCTTTCCAGTGGCCTCTTCTCCACCGTGGGTGTCTCATTCTTCCTGCCGTGTGTGTCACACCAGTGCTCTGGAAGAGTCCTTCTATTTCGCAGCTGGTCCCTTGCAGCACCTACAGTAGATGTTTAGTTGATTTCACCAGGGCTCTTACCCAGAGACCTGCAGTGAGATCGTGGTCTCAACTTCGAGTCCCACCCTCAACTCTCCTGGGGTGTTCTCTGACCTCTGGCAGGGCTGTAGCTCTCCCGGGTGTTCTCTGTTCTCTGGCAGGGCTGTGCCCCCACTGCGCCTCCTCTTCATGTAGGCTCTAGTCAGTTTTGTCTTTATAGATCTCAGGTGCAAGCTGGTATCTCTGTGAGGTGTGAATGTCATCAGTTACTGCTGAGGCCGAGCACTTCCGTATGTTGAAAGGCCATATGTAGAAGTCTCTTTCATAAAGGTCTTCTTTCTTGAGGTTTATTTTATTTTATGTCGGGCGTGGTGGCGCGTGCCTTTAATCGCGCTCGCCTTTAATCCCAGCACTTGGGAGGCAGAGGCAGGCAGATGTTTATGAGTTCGAGGCCACCCTGGTCTACACAGTAAGTTACAGCACAGCTGGGACTACAGGGAGACACTGTCTCAAAAACAAACAAAAAAAAATATTCTCCCAGCTCCATCCTAGGGTGCCACCCACTTTTCTCCCAGGGAAACAATGTGCTCTGCCACTCTCCCACAGTTTTGTGGCTGTCTTTCAAACTGACTTCTGACTTTTCTATGCCATAGTCTCTCTGCCTTGTAGCTTTCTCAGTCTTGTACCTTTTTTTTAAAAAAAAAGACAAAATTTTATTATTTTTATTCTATGTGTATGAGTGTATTGCCTGCACGTATGTGATTGTACCTGTGTCATGCGTGCAGTGCCACAGAGGTCAGAAGAGGGCTTTGGATTCCCCTAGAACTGGAGTTAAGGATGGTTCGTAGCTGCCATGTGGGTGCTGGGAATCGAACCCGGGTCCTCTGCAAGAGCAGTCAGTGCTCTTAACTACTGAGCCATTGCTCCAGCCCCTATTTTTTTTTATTTATGTGTATGTCTGTTTGAATGTTGCATGTGTGCAAGTGCATACAGAGGTCAGAAAAAGGCGTGTGCGATTTGTGGTTTTATGTATGCTGGCCTCTAACCAAACAGACAGTTAGGTTAAATGTTTTGTTTTTAAATAACTGGTGGCATACTGAAGGCACTGACCTGGACCTTGCTTTTCCTAACAAACCATGTGTCTTGGTGTTCATGCCCCCCAGTATCTAAGCGTCCCCTCAATTGTTCTGCAATGACACAGAGCCGTCTGAATAGGAAGCCAGTATATGACGCTGCCCCACAGATGGACAATGAAGTTGCTTCCATTCACCTATTTTAATAATGGCCGCTGCCATTGGTTGCTTGTGCAGCCTGTCTCCTGCACCCTGGCAACCTCTCAGGATCAGTTTCCAGAAGTAAGGTTATTGGATATAAGAATACACCATTGGCAGTTTAAGTGAAGCTGGCCAAATTCCCTCCTCAAAGCTGCCTGGATCTGTGGGAGATGCTTGTGTGAGGAGGATGACCAGGGAAGAACTCACCCAGAACAGGGAACCTGGGGCATGAGCCTGAGAGAGAGGAAAAATGATGGGTGGCCGGGCCGGCTCTCCTTCCTCACTCCCTGCAGGGTGATGCTGACAGGGACACTGTCTGACCGGCAGCCAGCTGAGCTCCACCTGTTCCGGAATTATGATGCTCCGGAGGCTGTGCGGGAGCCTCGCTTCAACCAGAATATTAACTTGAAGCCTCCAACTCAGCCCACAGGTCAGAACCGTGTTTGTCTGCTGCATCCTTGGGAAGGCTTGCTAGTCTGGTGGAGGTAGGGGACCTTGCAGGCATGGCTCTGGATACCCTCTCCACCTCACCTCACTGCCCTGGACTTGTTTGACTAAGAACAGGAATTGCTGGAGCTGTCAGGTCTCAGAGGGTTCCAAAGACCCTGGAAATCTCATTGGCATTCTGTCGTTCATCAGGATGGCAAGACCCAGCAGCAAGGTCTTGTGGGTCCTGCTTCCAAAGACTGCCCAGCTCCCCCTTTTCCTGCACCCCCTATGTCACTGAGCTGTCCTCCTTTTCCACCCCTAGACCAGCTGGTGTGGCGGGCAGCCCGGAGCAGTGGGGCAGCCCCCACCTACTTCCGGCCTAATGGACGCTTCCTGGATGGTGGGCTGCTGGCCAACAACCCCACACTGGATGCTATGACAGAGATTCACGAGTACAATCAGGACATGATCCGCAAGGTAAGAGCCATCTCAGGTCACAAGGATGGGCGTGACCACACATTGCCTACAAACCAGGAGGGCAAACAACTTTGATACGCACCTGTTGTTCAACACTCAGCAGCAATCGTATCTCACACGGGGCCTATCTGATGGGCAGTGTGTACCTGCAGCACAGCACTAGGATTCTGAGGCCCTGTCCACACAAAGTCAGAGAGTGCCCTGATCAGTGGCCAGTATCTGCTGTCAGTGTGGAGGGCAGTGTTCAGGCTGCACATCTTACACTCTGCCCAGCCTGGACACACGGTGGACCTGCAGAGCTCACATCCTATGTAGAGACTTCATAACCAGGGACATACCCCTGTACCTGTCCCTGTTCTGGGAGAGCACCCTGAAGACCAGGGGACCTGGGTGGAGGTGCTGTACAGGGGTAGTGATCCAAGGAGAAGCGGCAGGCTTCACCCAAGTCATAGGAGCAGGATGACAAAAGCCCACCTGCCGGGAGAGGTGGAACAGTGCAGTGGGACAGCTGGCTTTGCCTCAGAGTCCTTCCTTTTGAGTAGACTAGCGGAGCAGCAGGGGCTGCCTGGATGCCCCAGGACTTAGTGTGCCATTGCCTGTGCAGTGTTCAGAATACCTGGCCAAGTGCACCCAGTGCCAGCCACTCCTGCACTGCACCACTTTGAGGATGCAGCAGGTCCCTGAGCAGTGGAGAGGAGCCGTTTTTCTGGCAGACAGGGTGGGCATCCTAAAGGGGTAGAGGCAGTCTCACACATGACCTTTCTAAATCAACTCCTATTAAGGATGAGGAGTTGGGGGTCTCCAAGTGGAGGGTTTCCCTCAGGATCAGCCAGCAGGACTGGTTGAACAGTATAAGGACTCTGCAGTGGGCAGCTCAGTCTCAGCCCCTACTTCCCCTGTTCCCCACTGTGTGGCCCTACAGACCTCATCATGATCTGTCAGTCTGGGCCCTCATTATGAAACAGGGTGACTTGTCACTGGTCACTAACTGATAGAGTCCTGCAAACGTCTCTTCCCTCCTTTCCCTTGCCCAACCTTGAGACATGCAGGCAGCAGGTACGTACTCAACAGTGAGCACGTAGGAGGCCTTATTGGTACATAGATGCTGTTCCAAGAGAGCTATAACACCCATACCAGCCCTCTCAGGGAGTAGCTATAATTCAAAGGCTAGACCCTCCTGCTCCAAGACCTTGCCCCCTCCCCTCAGAGTCCTGCATCCAGCCTTGACCTCTCTCTGACCCGGCTTGTGTCCCTTCCTGTAGAAGGTCCCCTCTGACCATCTCTGTCCTGCTCCCCACAGGGCCAGGGCAACAAGGTAAAGAAACTCTCCATAGTCGTCTCTCTGGGGACAGGAAGGTCCCCGCAGGTACCCGTGACCTGTGTTGATGTCTTCCGCCCCAGCAGCCCCTGGGAACTGGCCAAGACCGTTTTTGGAGCCAAGGAACTGGGCAAGATGGTTGTGGACTGTGTGAGTTGGGGCCCTTCCCTAGGCCCACTTCCCTCAGGGTCTCCAGCCCTGGCTGATACCTCCAACACACCCATGTCTATCCCCTATAACCAGCTGTGGGGGACAGCCCACAACCCAGACTAGCCTGCCCAAGTCTCACAATGAAACCTCTGTGGTGTCCATCACTCATGGGTCCCAGATCTCTTTCTACACACAACCCTGTGTGGAAGGCGAGAATGTACATGGACAAAAACTACAGTGGGGGTGGGGAGCAGGAGACCTGTGCTCTGCCACTGCCCCAACTACTACGTGGTGACCCTGAATGGACTCTGTGGAGCCACCAGTTCTGCCCCTCTGCATAGCTATACCAGTCTCTGAGCCCTGCCCAAAATCACTATACTGATGGATGACTAGACCCAGGAGTACTGGGGAATGGGGAGGGGGTGGCTGGGACAGTAATAATAGGCCCTGTGAATGGACTCACACAGATTGTTTCCCACTAGTGCACAGATCCTGATGGGCGGGCTGTGGACCGGGCCAGGGCCTGGTGTGAGATGGTTGACATCCAGTACTTCAGGTAAGGTTAGGCCTGGCCTAGCTCTCCCCACCCAGACTTGGTAAAACCCATTGTCCCCCACCTCACCAGCAGAGGCCCCTGCCCCACTCTCAACTGTGGGACCCATTGACCATCCCAGCCCTTAGTGTGGGCTTTCCCTGCCCTAGGATGGTGTTCTGTCCCCCAGGCCCACTCCAGCCCTAGCTCCCACTCCCACCCAGGCTGAGCATCCTGGGTGACCTGTATTGCTTTCTCCGGACAGACTGAACCCCCAGCTGGGGACAGATATCATGCTGGATGAGGTCAGTGATGCAGTGCTGGTCAACGCCCTCTGGGAGACCGAGGTTTATATCTATGAGCACCGGGAGGAGTTCCAGAAGCTGGTCCAGCTGCTCCTGTCACCTTGAGCCCCCCAGGCTCTGCTGGCAATAGTGGGCCAGGCCTCCAGCACACTGGTGGCCAAGCTGGGCCAGGCAGCTCTGCATCCACTTGTGCACTGGGGCTGGGAGCATGAAGCTTCCTCCCCAAGGTGTCTCTCCTGACCCATCAACACTTTGCACTCTAAGCTGAACACCCAGAGTCCCCTCAGCCCCTTCCTCTGACTGTGAAGGACAACTGACTCCGCCCCTCATCCCTCAGCTTTGACACTAAAGTGCCCAGTGTGCCTGGAGGTCTCTCCTGGGTTCCCTGGTCACTGCACCCCACCCCTTCTCCTCCTTTCCTGAAGCCAGGGGCTAGAAAATCTGGGTTCCACCCCATTACCAAGTGAAATCCAGACTCCAGGAGCAGGGTGCCCCATTCAACTTTGCCCCTCCACACCTGCTGGCCACCCCGCCCCTGCAGGTGCCCCACCTTGAGAGCCTCCTACTCCCAAAGGTCGCTCTAGTGTGTGTACTCTTCTCTGGGAGGAGCATGGGGAGGGGCTCAGAGCTACTTGATAACTGTGAAATAAATGGGTTTGGACTCATGTTCACCTGTGCTGTGTGTACTGTAGTGTGAATGTGCCCTGTCCCCAGCCCTGGCTTCCTAAATCTTGATCTTACCTCTTCTCTGACAGGGATATCCCCTTCCTTCAACCCTGCCATAACAGGTCAATAGGGCAGATAATCAGGTGCCAGGCCCACCTGTCCAGTCAAACTCATGGACCCTGTTTGAGACCCTGCAAGGGAAATTGGGACATGGCTTGGCAGTGAGTGAGGAAGGCTACATGCACTGTTCCCAGGTCTGTGGGACTCAGGTTTATTTTCACTTCACTCTGACATTCAGAGGAACGAGGACTGGCATGTAGCTCAGTAGTGAAGCACTTGCCTGGCATGTTTGAGGTCCTAGGTTCCATCCCCAGCACTGAGGGAGCTGGTGGGCAGGAGTGCACATGGAAAGTACAGTGAGCACAGCCCCCTCAAGGCACAGGTCCCAGGGACCCAGGCAGCACTGAGGCCTGATGACAGTTGTCTCCATGTGGGCTCACCTCCAGGGTACTCCACCTTGTTCTAGCAGGAGGTTGTGTGTCCCAGACTTGTAGGGTGGGCAGGGCCATGTAAGGGCAGGTGGCAGGACTGGGTCGCCCAGGCACAGGGGGCCTTCAATCACAGGTGACCCGGGAGAAAGGCCCATCCACGAGTGCCCACTGGCCCACACTCAGAAGGTGAATAATTGAAGGGCAGGTCACACGAGCTTGCCCGCGTCACAGGCTGCCTTCCCAGTAGGGTCTGGTTACGCCCCAGATCGCGTTGACATCCCTGCTGGTGAATAATTAAGCGGCCACCTCCTCCCAGACTGGCCTCCATCTGCAGGCCCCACTCTACTTGCTGTCGGCCGAGCACTGGGCACCCATAGAGTCCGCCCCCCGTGCGCCCACTCCTGCTGTAACCGCCTGCCTCCTCAGCGCTGCTGCTGTCTCCCATGGCCCCCGAGATGGACCAGTTCTACAGGTCCACCATAGCCATCTACAAGGTGAGCTCCTAGGCCAAAGCCAGCATGGAGAGAGGTCAGGCTGGCTCCAGGACAGAAGCCCAAGCTGCAGTGTTGTGAGGAGAATGTGCAGCCAGGCTAGGCTGAGCTATGGGAGAAGGAGTGAGATTCCTAGGAGCAGTCAGCCACACCCTCAACAAGACCCCTTTCTCCTCCCATCGCAGATGAAGAGAGCAGGGGTCAGGGCCTCAGAGGCTGTGACTCAGAAGAGATGTTTGAAGAGCTGAGAGGTGGAACTCTCAACAGGGTGGAACTGGCTGCCCTGCAGGGAATGAAACTCCCCTTTTCTTGTGTCTAGGACTTTCAGATGTTAGCTACTTTACCTCCAGAGGGGTTGTGGGGGCCTCCACAGACATTTGCTGAACTCCTGCTGTGTATGCAGGACATTTTCACATGCAAGTCTCATACCCCTTACCTAGGAGACAGCAAATAACCACTGTGTTGGGTAGATGAGAAACAGACCTCAGAGGTAGACAACTTGTTCAAGGTCACCAAGGGAGAAAGAGGTGCTGCTGGGATTTGAGTCAAAACCCAATTTGAAGTTCAGGGTTCGGTCTACCACCTAAGCTGCTCTCCAACTGGCCACGACCCGGAATAGTCCACAGTGACCCATGTTAACACAGCCACAGCCTGGACCCTAGCGATCTTTTGAGAAAGGCAAGATCTGCCTTCATCCTTGGGGTGATGTTGGCAGCCCTGAGTGTCTATCCTGGAAAGGCCTGGGCACAGGGCAGGGCTGAGCTATGCCCAGTGGGGTGGCAGACAAATGTCTTTCAACCAGTGGGACGAAGAGACCCTTTGAAGTGTACTGTGTCAGGAGGGACATGGGTTTCTCCAGGGCAGGTATGGATGAAGTAGGAACTGGTGTCCAGGGGCCCTGGCCTGGGACTGGCCCCCAAAAGATGCCTCTGAGGCCTCTGCAGGAAGTAACCAGCTTTCTGGTTCTCTGTCCATCCATCCTTCTTTCCTCCACCACCATGGCCTGCCTCCCTTGTCCTTGGATCCAGAGCATCATGGAGCAGTTTAACCCTGCCCTGGAAAATCTGGTGTACCTGGGCAACAACTACCTCCGGGCCTTCCATGGTAAGCATCCACCCTGGTGCTCAGTCCCTTGTCATGGCCAGGAGCCCACAGTTCCATATGCCTCACCAGCTGCTGGGCTTACCCTCAACTCTGTGCCCTACAACATACTACCTTTGTCTCACACTTCTGGGGCCAGAGATGCCTGCCACACAGCCCACCCCTTACCCTGTGCCATACCCAAACTTCATAACACACCTACACACAAATTCATGGGCACAAGATGCCTGCAGCCCACCAATAAGACATACTTGGAGGTCTTGTTCAGCATCAGACAAGGCAAGTGCCCCTCTGCTCTTCTCTGGAAGTGCCAAGCCTCACACATCACCCAAGGGCCCCTTCTCCCATCGTGCCACACCTCAGTGTCCCATCCACACACCCAGGGTGGTACAGATTGGGAACTGGGCCTGGATTGCCCCTTCTCCTGCAGCTCTGTCTGAAGCAGCTGAGGTGTACTTCAGCGCCATCCAGAAGATTGGGGAGCAGGCCCTGCAGAGCTCCACGTCACAGATTCTGGGTGAGGTGCTCCTCTGCAACCCTGCTTCTTGACTCACCCCCACCCCCAGGCCTCCTCCTGCTGCCTCAGCTCTGGGCCCTTCCCCTGTGTCTTGACATCTCTTCAGGCCTAAGGCCTGTGTGGCCCACATCCAGAGGTTCACTAGGGCTTTCTTCTGCACACATGCCCTCCCAGAGCCCACACCCCAACACAGTCCTGTGGTCAGTGCTGGGAGCCCCATCTCTCACAATGGAGCCAAAGCCCTTCCTCATCCTTCCCTGTGGACCTGGGCTGCCAATCCTGAGTCAGAAGCCATAATGAGAAATCCATGGACTTTGGCCCCTAATCCAGCCCTGGGAAGGCTCCTGGCTGGCTTCTGGCAGGAGGCAGGTGGGTGGGGCAGGCTCCCCACACTTAAAGCAACCCTTCCTGCCTCCAGGGGAGATCCTGGTTCAGATGTCAGATACCCAGCGGCACTTGAACTCAGACCTGGAGGTGGTGGTGAGTATCAGGCCCCAGTGCCCAAGGTCATGCAAGTAGATTGGCTACTTGTCAAGAATGAGGGCCCAAAGGCCAGACAGATGGCTCTACAAGCATGAGGACCTGAATTCAGATTCCCAGCACCCATGTTAAAAGCCAGGTCTGGTGGCATGTGGATATAATCCCAGTGCTGGGGAGGTAAAGATGGGGCTCTCTGGAGCTTGCTGGTCAGCTAGCCTTGCTGAATCCAGTTCAGTGAGAAACTGTCAAAAAAAGGAAGGTAGCAAGCCACAGAGAAGGACAGTATCAATCTCTGGTCTATACACACATGTGCACCCCCTTACATACCCATTTCTCACGGAAGGCCTCCTGGCTCCTGCTGGCCCTTGGCAACGTGAAGACAAGTGCCAGGCTTCAGCCAGGCCTCTGGCTGATAGTAGTAGCTAGCATTTTCTGTCTCATTTTACTAAGAAGGAAACTGAGTCTCAGTGGTCTAGGCACCATTACCCAAGATTCTGGAATGAATGGAGTTTCTGAGACAGAAAAGGCCCAGAACATAGTCCCTCCCCACCACACCATTCCCACCCCTCCCAGGGGAGCAGCAACTGGGATCTGACCTTTCACTCCAGGAATAAGAGCTTCCATGCCTCCCCCACCATCAGAAACCAACACAGGCTCTTCAAGTAGGGACCTAGACCCAGCCCACCCAGCAGCCTTGCCCATGCCTCAAGTTCCAGCCCTGCCACCCTGATCAGCTGGCCCTTTGCAGATGCAGCCATGAGCTGCTGTCCAGCTGTTCTCATGGCTAGACCCACCAGTCCCTCCTCCTGCAGTGCAGCACAGGTGTCCCCTCCCCCAGCAGGTACCATTGTCCCTTTCCCGACCACAACAGGTGCTTCTGTTTGCTCTTGGTGTGTGGGAGTTAAGACAGGAAGCAGGTATTAGAGCATCAACGCTCAAAGCCTGGCTCCATTACTTATTGACTTTGGTGCCCTTGGACTCTGGTCCTCAGAGTAGGGTTGTCTGGTAGAATTCTTGGGGGAATAGACTGAATTCATAAGTCAAATTTGTCTTCTGGGGCTTGGATTGTAGTTCAGTTAGTAGCGTGATTACCTAGCATGCGTGAAGCCTGGGTTCAATCCCCGCACTGCATAGATTGGGCGTGGTGGTGCACACCTGGATCTTAGCACTGGGGAGGTAAAGACAGAGGATCAGAAATTCAAGGTTGTCCTCAACTGCACAGCAAATCTGAGGCCAGCCTGGGGTACATGAGACCCAATCTCAAGAAACTGTTTTCTGGCCCTAGGTTCCTGTGCTGGAATAATTAGAACTTAACATGCCTGTTTCTGTTCCTTGGAGGCCATGAGGACCTCTACAAGGGCTGATATGTGTCTTCTCATGTCTGTAGCTCCAGGACCTGGAGATGCCTGGCTCTAAGCGAGGCTTCCTTGAGTGTTAAAGGAAAGCAAGTGGTGGGAAGGGGCTTGCTAGGTGCAGGAGAGGTGGATGGCTTCCCATAGGGGCATAGTGACGGGCAGAACGGAACCGAAGCCCAGAAGTGGAGAGATGGATGGGGTCTGATGGTGAGGGAGTCTTGGAAGGCTCAGAAGGGAATTTCCATTAACTGTGACAGTCCCTGTTCTCCAACTTATGCATCAACTGGAAGTCAGGGTGCTCTTTGGGGTTCTGTTTGGCATGGAGACTGATTTTCTAGTAGAAAATGTGCATAATATTTATATACAACAAATCTAGAACCTCAGTACCAGGTCTCCATGAACACGTGGTACAGCACTAAGCCCCTAGCACCTGCTTAGACTCAAATGGTTATTGAGCCTCGGTCTCATCCTTGTGTTCAGTAGCTCTTCATGTCCCTGTTTTTCACTTGGTCTGGGCAGGGACAAGTGTCACCCAGGCCCACTCTGTAAGGAGAGCTGCCTCTCCAGGCACCAGCCTCTTGGCTGTCATAACTGGGTAGGGCCCCCAGCCAGAGCTATACCAAGTAGAACAGTGCCACAGGCTGCCCCTTGTGTTCTTCGTTCCTTAAGGATCCCGACCACGTCCCAGGCACTGATGGAGGCAGCTGGGATGCAGTAGATAGAAACCCTGTCCTCTCACCAAACAAAAACCATGTGTCAGTAGCCACATCTGTCCCACAGGAAATAATTTGCTATGGAGAAAAACAGGGGAAAGACTGAGTGTTTTGGGGTTGCTAAAGGAAGACATCCCCAGAAAGGGGGCATCAAGGAAGGTCTGAGAGAGGTGGGTAAGTTCACCAGGACAGATAACAGGCAGCAGGAGCCAGCAATAAAGCCTGTCATGGATGGTCATTCCTCTGTGAGCAAAGGGACAGGGTCTGGCTTAAATCTGTGGATTGTTTTGTTGTTGTTTTACTCTTTAAAATTACAGAATTAAAAACAAGATACAGCAAATCTCACCAAACACGTAAGAACTGAATGTCTCATGACAAGGTCACCCAAGGCCAACAGTACCTTCTAGGTCTAGAACATAGTGACTCCCTGACCCCAGCACCAGGAGGCCCCGTGTGAGCCACCATATTCAGTCTCCTCTCCCTCCCTACTCAGTGGTCACAGTCCAAGCTGATGCTTTTGTGTTCCTTCATGGTTTATCCCCTGAATGTGACCCTAAGACCTGAAACTATGAAGTAGGTAGATTTCTTTTTTGTTTTAATTACTTAAGTGCACCATGTGTTTGCAGTGCCCATGGAGATCAGGAGAGGACTTTAGATTTCCTGAAACTGGAGTTACCTATAGTTGATAACTGTCATGTGGGTGCTGGGAACTGAACCTGACTCCTCTGCAAGAACAGCCAGTGCTCCTAACTGCTGAGCCACCTCTCCAGGCACAGATCCACCTGCCTTTGCCTCCTGAGTTCTGGGATTAAAGGTGTGCACCGCCACACCTGGCCTGCGTACTCTGTCTTTGCTTTGACTGTTGAACTCTTAGGCACACCAGCTTGGTCTTGCACCTCCTGGAAGTCCCTGCCCATATGTTCCTGGTACAGTCCAGTGAGTTCTTCCCATAGCCTTGGGACCCCACTCCCCACAGTCTTATCTGGGCCTTTCTGTTGGGAGGTGCCCAGGTCTCTAGACCTATTCATACATGGGGTTACCCAGTGTTGCTGGTATTTGGTGGAGGGTGGCTGCCTGAACATGTGGATGGAGAGCCCCTTCTCTCCTCTGCTGCTACTTGCGGTGTGCTTCACCTGCAGAAAGCAGAAGAAAGCCTTACCTCCTGCCTTATCCCTCAGCTGCCACAGTGAGTTTGCTCTCCATCACCCTCTGAAGTTGATCAGCTAACTTGATTTTTTTTAAGTTTTTAACTGTTTGTATGTATTTACTTATTTTACATGTTAGTCTGAATGCACCCATGTTGTGCAATGCCCACAGAGGTCAGAAAAGGGCATCAGATTCCCTGGAACTGGAGTTACAGATGGTTGTTAGCTGCCATGTGGGTGCTGGGATTCAAACCCCAGCCTTCTGCAAGAGCAACCAGTGCTCTTAACTGCTGAGCCATCTCTCCAGTGCCTTGATTTTTTTTT